TATGAATTATTTGTGTTGTTATTACAAGTGTTGCTGTGACCCCCTAGGAAAAGGTTATGCCCCGCCCTGTATTTCATGGCTTAAGTTGTCCTTGGAGTTTCTTGTAAACAATATTGGTTATGGCAGCTTTTTGGTTGAGTCACAGCTAACTTCAATGGACGCATCTGAGTATGGCAGATCAATAGATTTTGTCTCCCTATATAAATAAACTTTGTTAGCCTGAACTCCAGATATAAAATATTTTTTTCTTTTATTCAGTGAGCCAATAACTTTCAACTTTCGTTCCTGGTTTATTATAGTTCTGATCCACACATTTCAAAGAATATTAAAATGGTTCTCAATGTAGCAGTTCCATTTTATGTATGGCTGCTAAAGTTACTTGGCATAAGTGCCTAATTCAGTACAGCATTATTATTTATAGTGGCTCCCATTATGGCTTCTCTGAAAAAAATGAAATTAAAGCAAAGAAAATGATGCTCCTGCATAATTTTCCTTGGAATTAGTCTGCATAATAGGAGACTATCTGGCATGGATGTTCAATTACACTAACCAAATGCAAAATACTCCCTGTTCAATATCTACTATGTACCCACATTTTAACAATGACTTAATTTGCCTTGTAGGTATACTATTTATTCACCAAAAGATGGTCAACCCTGCATGGATCATGATAGACAAACAGGGGAGGTAATGAAGGATTTTTAAAAAATAGGACTATGTTTTAATGAGTTGAGACTTTGGAGATTAAAGTCAGAGGGTAGGCGGGAAGAGGAGGATTAGGAAAAATGGGCACCCTGCCCATTTTCACTTCTGTCTCCTGATTTTTTACGGGAAGCCTTTTCTTTCTTAAAGGGTTAAGCTTATTCAGTCATCTAATTGACTGAAACACCTAAACAGAAAACTAAAGGAAATTAGACAGAACTTAGAAATCATTATCAATAGTAGTAGTAGTAGTAGTGGATTATCCAATCTTAGTATCTAAAAAAAAAGAGCCAAGGCGTGTCCAACTTGGTTAGTACTTGCTAGAATCTCAAGTACCAGGAGTCCCAAATTGAAAAAGTACTCCAGATTAAACCAATGGCATCTTATATATCATTGCCAAGAAGATGAAGTATAATTCCATGTTTCCCTGAAAATAAGACAGAATCTTATTTTCTTTTGACCCCCGAAATAAACACTTGGCCTTATTTTCAGGGAGGTCTTATTATTTTGAGGTGCTTGAGGCAGCGAATGTGGTTACCTCATGGCTGCTGCTGGGTTGCAGTATTTTCAGGAAGGACTTATTTTTTGGGGGAGGGCTTATTTTAGGGCATGCACTCAAAAGCCCGATTGGGCTTATTATCCGATGAGGTCTTATGTTCAAGGAAACAGGGATGTAAGGAGAGTTGAGTTTGATTCAATAATCTTTTTTTATAGTATTGGGATGCAAATAGCAGAATTAGGAAAGATAATTTAACAGTTATTTGTAAATTGGAACTTTGAGTCAACTTTCAGAGAAGATAAAAATGGAAAGTCACCTAGGCACTCAAGTTTCTGGAAAAGCTGCTTGGACACTAGCCTTTGGTTTTGTGTCACCAGCAGCTTGTTTATACTAGATTTCCATAGAATCACCAATTTCTTGCATTATTTTCTAGTTGGGAGAGTGCAGCATAATTCTTTCCTTGTTATTAATACCAGGATTATGTAATGCTTCACGTTAATGAAAAATAAGATGCCTTGAAATGTATATAGCATCTGTCTGCAACTGTTTAAACTGGTCTTGTGATTCTGGGAAAAGATGCAGATGCTTTAAGGAGTTGCCGACAGGTATTACCTGAGTTACTTCCTCTCACTGCTACCATCCCAACTCTGAAACACACTTTTCTCTTCCAATCCAAAGTAATGTATTTATTTATTTACAGACGTTATAAGGCCACCTATATCATATAATGATCCTAGTCAGCTCACAGTAACAATAAAAACAAAGATCTGATTAATACACAAATCACTCTAATGCAGCATTGTGAAGCCCATGTCTGCCCACGCCCATGTGCGGTTTAGTGAAGAGGAAAAACGTGATACGTCATGTGACAAGTCTGTGACGGCACAAGTTTGGCACCCCTGCTCTAGTGATTTTGTTGTAGTCTAATACAGGGGTGTCAAACTCACATCATCATGGCGCCATTATGTGACATATTGGGACTCTCCCCCCCCCCCAGTCGCTAAATTGGACGTCAGCGTGGCCAGCATGTGAAACATCTGGTCCGTGATCTGGGAGTTTGGCAGGCCTGGTCTAATGTATAAAGACTGGTTTGACTGAATAGTTCTAAGAGATTACAAATGAAAGTGACACAATTGTTTATATATTGTCTCTAAGGGTGTGGGACCTCAAGAATACACACTAATCAAAATGAAGGTGATAGAGCCTTACCCTCTGAAATTAAGGTAGGCCTCGGCATAATTACTTATACTGATGTTAGTAGAAAAAAAGAAAAAAGCTAAAAGTTTATTGAAAACACATATTAAAGGTTTTAGAAGTGTGTTCAGATATGTGTGGCTTTTTGGTTGCTGATGAAGTAGATTAAGATTAGACTAATTTATGTCATGTAGATTGATCAGTTAAGTAGAAATTTTCACATAGAGGACAGGATACCACTGGATATAAGTTATTGAGAGAGGAATAGGTTTTGACTTCCTGAGTCTTATTTGTGGCATTCAACATTGGAAAAATTGAAAAGATCTATTGATCTACAATTAAAGGCACTTGGAAATCGGTTCCACTGAACTGAATAGCCTTAAGAAATGCATCAGGTTGTATTGACAATATGGATCAATGTTTGGTTATTCTTGGATCTGTGCATGTGGCTTCCTTTAGAGAAGATGGTAATTTAGATTATATCTAAAAATGGAAAAATGTGCCAGATGAATTTGGAAGAACATTTTAATCACTTTTTTGGGGTTTTGAATTTATTGATATAGTGATTTCCCTGTGTTTATTCCTTACAAAATGAACACAATAAACAGTCATATTTATAAGTCATAGATGTGCTGTCTTTTTAAATTGTCCTTGTGCGAAGATTGGAAAAAGAAGAGGAGAGTCCCCATAGTGAATAGGTTTCATTGTCAACTTAGAAGGGACAGCTTACTGATAAGATGTATGTCCCAAAGATGATGTTTCTAGAGCCAACTGTACTTTCTAGTTTTTCTTTGAAGATGTTTCACTTCTCATCAGAGAAGTTTTTTCAGCTCTGAAGCTGAAGAAGCTTCTTGGATGAGAAGTGAAACGTCTTCAAAGAAAAACCAGAAAGTCCAGTTGCCTCTTGAAAAAAAGCACCTTTGGGACAACCATAACCAGGATGACTGAGAATCTTCATAGACATTTAGCAATGCACTTTGGGATGAACACGCTAAGAAAAACACCCTAACAAAGTATGTTGGCATAGATTTTAGAAAATACTATTTGTTTTTATCTTTTAAGTGAACTTTTGTTTAAATATATTTTTCTAAACTGCCCTTTCTTTCTTTTACAGTGGCCTTAGAGGAAAGAATATCTTCTTGGTAGCTGCTACTTTGAGACCAGAAACCATGTTTGGGCAGACTAATTGTTGGGTTCGGCCTGATATGAAGTACATTGGGTTTGAGACTCGGAATGGGGATATTTTTATTTGCACACAGAGGGCAGCCAGGAATATGTCCTACCAAGGCTTCACAAAAACCAATGGGGTGGTACCTGTCGTGAAAGAATTGATGGGAGAAGTGAGTATCTTGTGAACGTTATTTCTAATAAGGATCTTCTAACAAAAAATGAAGCATATTCCGAGGACTTTAGATTTGCTTTAATGTACAATACAGGTAGTCCTTGACTTGTGGCCACAATTGAACCCAAAATTTTGGTTCACTGAACAGTTGTTAAGTGAATCACAACGGTTGTTAAGTTAGTAACACAGTTGTTGAGAGAATCTGGCTTCCCCATTGACTTTGCTAGTCAGAATACTGTAGCCATCATAAATATCAAGTCAGTTGCCAAGTATCCGAACTTGGATCACATGACCATAGGGATGCTGGAAACAGTGAAGGACCAGCCTGCACTACCTCTTGACAGCGAAAACAGAGTTCGGGAGGACTGCAGGCGGCCCTCCCAGGCTGTTTTCGGCCGTGATGGCCTTCTGCAGTTCTCTGCCAGCGAAAATGGAGCTTGCTTTCCGTTTTGCTGGCAGAGGGCTGCAGGAGGCTGTTGGCCCAAAAACGGGGCCTCAAAGAGTGATGTCGAGCTGGCCACACCCACGCCAGTCATGCTCATACTGGCCACGCCCCTCACCTCAAAGTCAGACACAATCCTGATGTGGCCCTCAATGAAATCGAGTTTGATACCCCTGGTCTACAGCTATTCCAGAACTCTGAGTTTGAAATAAGGTCAAATGACTCAGAACGATCTATTTTGAACACAGAACCATGATTTCAAATTTAAAGCAGCATTCCCAAGTTTGAAAGTTCATCAGTTTGAATTATTTTGCATATGTCAAACAGGGACACATACTTCCCTTACTTTTAACATAATTCTCTTTCTCTGTAGGAGATCCTTGGTGCTGCACTTTCTGCTCCTCTGACATCCTATAAAGTCATCTATGCTCTTCCAATGTTGACTATTAAGGAAGATAAAGGTAAAAACTATGGCATTTTAGCACTCATTTTTTACAGGAGAAAAGTTTTTATCTTTCTATTGATTACTGGAGATATTGGCCCAGAAACCAATATCTGCACAAAGTAAACTTTTCTGCAGTGTCTTGTTTCTGCTCTTTCAAGCAAAATAATCTTTTGTATGGATTGCATAAGAGGAATAATAGCTCTTGTGTATAGTCATCAAAACAAGAAGATAAATTAAACTACTGTGTTTTGTCTCCTTTAAAATCTTGGGATTCTTTACAAACATATGAAGGTACTGTATGAAAGTGACTCGTATTTTCTTCTCCTTTTACTTTGATTTAAGCTTATCCATATGCTGTCTTTTACAATATGATCTTTCTTGTGCTAGTAATGAAGAATTAGTCCATCTATAATCTGGTGCCTATAATTGGTAGTAACTACATTTGATTCATTATTTGAGCATGTATTTGGTTACTGCTAAAATATATTGACTTTATATAGCTATTACTTATGAAAAAATGTGCATAAAGGGGTCTATAGGATTCCACATGGCAGTCCTATTAATACAGTCATGTGGATATTCTGGATTGCTGTAATGATGGATAAAACATACACTGGGGAGTCCGCATAATTTAAAACTATCATTTTTTCCCAAGGCTCTAAATTTATGGATAAAAATGTTCCTTTACATTGTCAGATTTATCCTCACTATGAGGATTAAGGAGAATCTGCGTAACCACAAGGCAAAGTTAAAATGTACAATTCCATCCCCTGCTGAGTTCACATTTAGTGCAAATTCTGTCCTAACAATGTGTTGATCTATGTTTCTTGATGGTTCCTTGTAAGGTACTGGAGTGGTTACAAGTGTACCATCTGATGCTCCAGATGACATCACAGCCCTGAAAGACTTAAAGAAGAAACCGGTGAGAATCTTAAGAACCATGGAGAATCTCTGAATGTATTGCCACCTGGTGCTGTTGGCGTTCATTTCTCTTTTTACATAGTATATTTTTAATAGGCATATGTGGATCTACATAAAATTCTTTGTGCTGAGCAGACAAAACTATGTATTAAGAGCTGTGATGGCACAGTGGTTAGAATGCAGTATTGCAGGCAAATTCTGCCCACAGCCTGATGGGGCTCAAGGTTGACAGCCTTTCATCCTTCCGAGGTCGATAAAATAAGGACCCAGGCTGATATTTTTAAACAAATTGGAGTTGACCACAATATATAAAAAGGTGGAATAAAGATCTATTAATAATATTAAAAAGAATTGGACGTTTCTTCATTCTTGTTTAGAAAAAATCACTTTGTAGGAGAGCTGGGAAGTGCCCATTTAATATGGTTCTCACCTTTTGTACAAGTGCTTGCATTAAAGATATGTTTACCAATTGATCTGAGTATTTTATAAATTGGTAAAAGTTTTTTTGTACAGGTGGCTGGTGTTAACCAGTCAGCTTGTGCAGAAGAAACAAACATCTTTTCAGTTTAGGTTTTGCGGATCTGATCTGTGGTATTTTGTTTCTGATTTTCTTCATAGGCTTTTCGAGGGAAGTACGGCATTAAGGATGAAATGGTCCTGCCTTTTGAACCTGTAAGTACAGAAAGAAATGAATGCTATAGATGTTTTTGCTAAATACTAGTAATTATTTCAATCAGATTTATAAGTCTGCTAAATATTGGTGAAACAATGCAGACAGTATCTTCCAATGAATGTAATAAACTGATGTGATATCTACTTGCTGTTTTCTTAACACATTTCAGCTGCTAAATCTTGCATTAAGTTGGTCTTTTTGAAGGGGCTCATTATCAAAACAGAAGAAAGATTTTTATATCTAGAAGAGATAGGAGGAAATGCCATTTATTCCCCAAGTTGTATTCAGTAAAATCAGGGTTAACAAACAATGCTTGTTTTTGTACACTCTTGAAAACAATTCCAGAGGTCTGAGAAACAAGATTCCTGAGAAACCGATTGACTTGAATTTAGCCCTGATGCTTGTATTTATTTTGGAAAGGCTTCTTGTTAACTTGGCATGTGCTTTACTTAATGTACTAGATTATTGTAAGCATTGAGCACTTTGATTATTGGGTGGAAAATTCCCACGAGCATAGCTTTGTAGTGGCACAAGAATAACTGCAAGGAGCTTAGCAGTTCATGAGGGCTTCTGCCCTATTGAAATGCTGGGCTGCTTTTCCAATTAAATGAGCAAAGGCAAAAGAGATTTGAGAATTGTTGTAGATCCTGACAGCCTGATCTTGCCCAAAGGCAAAGGAATAAGACAGCTCCATTCATTATTTTAAAGAGAAATGTTCCATTGCACAATGTCTTAGGAAACCTCTCTTTGCTCTCATTCAGTTTGGAGGCTGGGTTTCCACAATATCCCAGCTACTTTAGTCAGATTGTAATTTAATCGGTGTTGTTGAGTAGAGGAGATCGAGCTAATTTGGAAATCTGTACTTACCCATCATTCTCTTAACTATAGTTAGCTCCCTTCTGGGAACCCAGTTTTGTAGGCACAAGCCGAATGGTAGTACATTCAGTGCAAGATAGAAAATGGAAAGAAATGAAAAATAAATTTATTTGCTGATTAAACATGCACCTTTCTCTCTCTTTTTGTTTGTCAAAAAGTTCAGGATAACTACATATAAAATAGGAATAAAATGCAGCTGAAATTATAAGTAATATATCAGTTAAGAACATAGCTAAGGAGGTAATCAGGCACCCATTGAGAAATGGGTGCGAGATATCAGTAAAAGTAAAGTAACAGTAGCTGTTCAGTTAACATCTAATTCGGCAGGCAAACCAACTCAAAAGGTCAAATGTCTGCTCCAATAAAAACATCTTTGTGTGATGGCAGACTGACAGCAGATAAGACCCTAGACTCTTCTCACTTTTGCAAAGAAACTCTTCTTATCCTCAAATTGTGCAAATTGAAACTATCCATTAGAAGGGGACAGGCAGAGGCTGTTGTTGCCGTCATTGCCTTGGATCCATTATAGCATGCAAGTTAGTAGAGCGTGAGATATTTAAGCTACCAAGCGCTGTGCAAAGTGGTCACAAAATACTATTTTTGAAACTGGGTTAATGGCTGCTACATAGAATATTGATAACACTGGTAAGTTCTGTTAATATTTTGATCCTTTTTTCAGGAAACAACCAAAACACCCAGGTTTGGTGGAACCTATATCCACATACTATAAGTTAAAGATTCTTACACATGAGTACAATTAACAGGATAGGCTTCACCTCTTTTCCTTTATGTTTTATGCTTCTAGCCCACTAGACTGAAAACAAGATTTGTTTAGTTGATCAACATAAAAAGCAGTTCCGTTTTCAAAGGCTAAAGGAGTCCGGCTTGAATTTCCTATAAGATTCTTAATTGCTTGCATGATTGAAAACTACTGATTCACAGTGCTGTCATTATATTCCCAGATACCTATCATTGAGATCCCTGGGTATGGCCACCTTTCTGCTCCACTGGTCTGTGAGGAGCTGAAGATCCAGAGTCAGAACGACAGAGAGAAACTTGCAGAAGCCAAAGAGAGAGTATACCTGAAAGGATTTTATGAAGGAGTAAGTTAAACTGAACATGAAAAAACACTTTTCTTTCTGCATGCCTGCCTTACATATCTCCCTTTCACATGTTAGGAGCCTCCGTCCCCTTCCCGCCTTGGGAGGTGTGGAGTTTAGGTGTGGAGAATATGAAATCTCTCCAAAGTCCCTATTATCTCTGAGCACACATTCCATCAATTATGCACAAGCAGAAGAGAGGGATGCAGTTCCAAATATGAGAAGTTGTTCCTGCGGTACTTATCTACTTGCTTGCCTGTAGACAAAAACTAAGCAGGATGCTTTCCTGTAGCCTATGCAGCATACTTATGTGTGTCTGTCTGGTTTGCAAGAAGCAAAAATGGGCTCCCCCCCCACCTTCTACTCTGCTTTGCCCAAGAAAGCGGTTGCCTCAGAGCACTCCTTCCCATTCAGTTTTAACTCGACATTCCCAGTAGGACATCTCTTAGAATGAAGAGGGTGAGAGGCCACTTTGGCTTCCCCAGATTCTAAATGAGCCAGTGCTGATTCTAATCTCTGCAATGACTACCCTTTTCAGGTAATGCTTGTGGATGGATTCAAAGGCCAGAGAGTTCAGGATGTCAAGAAGCTTATTCAGAAGAAGATGGTAGACAACGTACGTAACGGTTTGTGTGTGCATATATTGATTGCCTTAGCAAATAGCAGCACCTGGTCAATCTTCTCTGGGCTTACCAGCCAAGCAGGTTTGATCTGATTAGTATGTAAACCTCAAGGAAATCTCAGGACTGGAGGCTAAAGTATTCCCGAAAGAGGCAGTGGCCTATGATTTTCTAACTGTTGCCATGAAAACTGCACCAATATGCCTGCGTAGTTAGCAGGAATCAAGCTCTATTTGAGGTGTTTTTATTATTATTTTTTTAACATATAATCCATTTGATATTCTGAGGTTTTAACACAGTTTCTCCAGTTTGTTTTGACAAAACAATGCTGGATTTATTGTAATATAATTGTTTGAAAAATAGACCGGTTGGGGGAGGTGTTAGTTGCCAAAAAGCATCTTCTAGCACTGAAGATGTTGCTTAGATAAGCAGTCCCCAACTTTTCTGGCTCCGTGGACCAACAGCGGTGGTGAGGGTGGAGGAGACCTCACAACCTAATCCTGTGCATGTGCAAATGGAGCTCCCAACAGGCTGTGTACCGGTACTGGCCTGTGGCCTATGGGGTTGGGGATCCCTGACCTAGATGGATAGTGAAATGACTGCAAGAAAACTACCAAGCTCAGAGAACACCAAGAACCCCACCAATAGCCTGAAATCAAACACATTTCTTTTAATGGAAAAATAAATTACATTTAGCCTATTGGATCAAATAGAAATAATTGGGGTTTTAAAAATATTTTTATACAGCAGAGTTTACTGTTTTGTTTTATGCCTATAAATCTTTTCTCTACATGCTTAAAGCAGCTTTTTGATTTGAAAAATATTTTAACATGCACAAGAGAAGGAGAGATACATTGTATCTCTGAAAATGCCAAGCTTGATAAACTCTCAGTGTTTTAAGAAAGACTCTTTTCTTAAATATTGCTTCCCACTGCTATTTCCTTAAAAACTTGTGCAGCTGGGGTATTTGTATTGGAGGGTTTTCTTTTGCACAAAAGTGTATTTTCACATTTTAGTCACAAGAGGACAGTGCAGTAGAGATTTGTAACTTCTGTATGTGGTATGTTCATCCATTCTCAACGAAATATAGGGCAGAGTATGCCTCTTCACCTGCGTATAAGGGAGAACTGAATTAAAGCATGCAAGTAGTCTGTTCCCAAACCCACTTTCTGTGGTTTGAGATTTTGCAATTTAGGCATTAGATAACTTACATTGGGCACCTTTGCAGCTATGGGGAAAAGGCATTCTTGAGAAATCAGATCATTTAAGGACAGACCCCCCCCCCCCCCCCTGCTTTGGACAGGAAAATCTTTTGTGATTGTCTTGTGCTCTCCTAGGTGCATTGAGATGCACAGTCTAAGAGAACTGATACCAAAATAGAATTCAAAATGAACTTGCATGGCTGCAATTTTATTTAAGGAAATTAAATATAAGTCACAATGCATTTTGTAATATCTGTTGTCCGTACAATATACTGAATTCCACGAAAGAAGGGATTATCACACAGTCCTGCAGTCCCTTCTTTGAGATTCTTAGAATCATATCCCTCCCCATCCAATTTGCTGATATGAAGTATTAAAATGCTAAAATAATCATAATCTGATTTCCATCTTTTCAACTTTGTTGTCTCAGCATTTTAACCCCCATTTCCTCCCTGTTTCCTTATTTCAGGGTGAAGCAATGATTTATATGGAACCCGAGAAACAAGTTATATCTAGATCTGCAGATGAGTGTGTGGTGGCTCTCTGTGACCAATGGTAAGTTGAAAATAAAATAAAAGTTACAGTTGCATTGATTACCACTTTTCTGCTTTTTGCAACTCTTCCAAGTTCCTACTGCTTGTTTTGGACTTAAAACCATGCTTTTCCATTCATTGTTTTAGTAAAGCATCCGGCCTATTTCTGTCAAGATCATCTTTCTTACTCCCTACGATATTTGGTTCTTTCCCCCAAGGTACCTGGACTATGGTGAAGAGACCTGGAAGCAGCAGACCCATGAATGTCTGAAAAACCTTGAGACGTAGGTGTGGGGTTTGTGCCGGGGAGGAGGGTTAATATATGACATATAGATAATTAATGCTTTGGTTTTCCCAGTTTTTGTGAGGAGACCAGAAAAAACTTTGAAGCCACCCTGAATTGGCTCCAGGAACATGCCTGCTCAAGGACGTACGGCCTAGGTAGGAAAACTGCTCTATTGATCAGCCAGTAACAGTGTTTTATTAATCAAAACTTTTATTATTTTGTTTTATTCATTTTCCATATATGATCGACCAATTATTATATAACTGGAAAACCTATGAAAAGACTCATATGATGTATGAACAGCTCAATTTTCAACACAGAGTACTTTTAATGGACTTTTATCTTCTACAGTATATTGATTTAGAATTGAGTTTGGTCATCAATATAAATTCCTGTAGTGCCTAAATATGTTTGTCAGATTTCTCATGAAAGCAGTATGCTTGCCTTTGCATTAATATAATGCAAAGTGTCATATGGTAAGAGATTGACTAGGTATAGTTTTGACAATTCCCTCCTCAACTCTTCCATAAATGCAAGAGGATAGAATATTAAATGTCAGTGATTAATGCCTAACAAAATATTTTGTCATCTTCCAGGAACTCGTATGCCTTGGGATGAGCAGTGGTTAATAGAATCTCTCTCTGATTCTACTATCTACATGGCCTACTATACAGTTGCTCATTTCCTACAGCCTGATCATTTGAATGGACAAGGAGAATCTCCACTGGGCATTAGGTGAGAAGGGAGTGGTGATAAGGTGTGGTAAGTGCCTTCTCTTGCAAATGTTGCCTTGTCTTGTAAGAAATAAAAAGTAAATATACTGTAAGTCATATTGCATTCAACAGTGAAATTTGTGTTTTGGGGTTATTTCCCAGGAAATAGGAAGCAAAATATATATACTAAATTTCTGAAAACATTTTACTTAATTTCACCCTACAAAACTCAAAAAAGCAAATGGATATGTCTCTCCTGTGTCTTGAGTGTATCTCTGTCATGGCTCACAGATATATACTAACATAAAGATGTGGATCTTGTTCCATTCCATTCCTCAGTCACAAATGTTGCTCTAAATGGCTATTTTTTATTATCTGCCATAAATATTAGAACTTATGATGCTGATTATTTATATAATATTTTCAAGTTAGCATGACAGGAATAATGTTCTGTAACCTATAGGATCATGGCTTTTTAAAAACTACCAATCGGGTCATTATGGGAACAGTTTGTTGCATTTGATGTCTTAATTCAAGTGTATTGATTGCATTTCCTAAAGAAAATTAAAAAAAATACAAAGTAGATTATTTTGAGCCACACATGAGGTTAAAACATAAGAGAAATCTATAAGTGTGACTTTAACTCTAATGGTAGATTCTGACTTCAGAACTAGTGGAATAACATACTAGTTTCAGACCAGGATTTTCAGGGTAATGGGTAATTTAGCACTTAGCAATAGACTTAGACTTATATACCGCTTCACAGTACTTTACAGCCCTCTTTAAGCGGTTTACAGAGTTAGCACATTGCACACAACAATCTGGGTCCTCATTTTACCCACCTTGGAAGGATGGAAGGCTGAGTCAACCTTGAGCCTGGTGAGATTCGATCTGCCAAATTACAGGCAGCTGGCAGTCAGCAGAAGTAGCCTGTACTGCACTCTAACCACTGCACTGCCTCTTAACTAACAGATTGTTGTCAATCATTAACAAACAAACGAACAGTGAAAACTGGCACAGTTTTCATCAGCTACATCTAATTTTGATATATTGAAGAATAATCTGTTAGAATTACAGTTCTGGAATGTCTAATCTTGGGTAACCCTTAGGTTTGTTTTGATACTTTAAAAATGCTAATAAATCAATACCAACTGATTTTTTTCTTATTTAAAATGTTTCAGATCTTAAAATTAGGTCCTTTTTTAAAATTAAAAGCAACTGAGTTTGAAGAATGAAACCATATTTAGTGATGGTGTATGTAATAATCATACCAAATAGGTGCTCAGTTAGTAGGGAAACCTGCAGCCTTTCTTTTTATAACTTTTGCCTATTATACACAGAGCAAGCCAAATGACAGAGGAGGTATGGGACTACATCTTCTTTAAGACGGCTCCATTCCCCGCAACAAAAATCCCTAAGGAGGCTTTGGATAAACTGAAGCAAGAGTTTGAGTACTGGTATCCAGTGGATATACGTGCTTCTGGCAAGGATCTTGTTCCAAATCACTTGTCTTACTACCTTTACAATCATGTAGCCATGTGGCCAGATCAGAGGTTAGTCTGTGAAAAGTTGCATCTCCAGCTTTATTAATTCAAGTAATCACAACCTGTGCAAACTTTGAAAAGGAAAAGAAGTCTGAGCAGGCAAAACTATATTAAAATGAATTGCTCTTTTACAAGACTTGAGTATGGAATTAAAGCATGGAGCCAGTTTGTTACTTGTATAATCGATACATTGCTGAATCACTTCTTGTTGACTATCTAGTCTCCCAATGTTAATTAATCATGTCTTTTACTGCTTGCCCAATTTGAATTTGTACAGGTGTGATGTCCATGAACTGTACCGTGTACCCTTAGTTTACTTTCCACTGTATTGAACTTTTAAAATACATTGGAAAGTTCCTATCATGCTTTTGGCTCAAGTATGAGTAAATGTTGCAGATTCACTGAGATCATCCCAATCTCCATAAGGAATTCCTTGGCTGATGTGCGATCCACTCATGTGCGACCCAGCTAATGAGCTTTGAAAGACTGTTTATCTTATGATGCCTAGAATGCTTGTTAGTTACCTTTTTTCCCTTTTCCGTCAAGCTACATTATTTTGCAGATGTAAGTCCTACAATACCAGTAGGTGGGAAAGGGACTCCCGCAAGGATAATCATTAGTTCTTCTCTGTCTGAAGGACATCTGGCTTACTCTGCACTACTGAAGCAAATGGGGTGAAATCAGGATCCCATGCTTGCTGCACAGTGCATTGGGAGGGATGGAAAGGTTTTTTTCTATAGGTATTTTTCTTCCCTGTTGTCTCTGCCAGTTACATAATAATTCCATGCATTCCTCTGAGTCATATTTTATTGCTTCAACTTGTTAGAGGCTAATTTGCTCCAGGCTCTGAATAGCTATTCTAGCAATTAAGGGAGTGAAAGAATCTTTGGGAACTATTAGAACTACCCATAATTCTTCAATACTGTGACCTATAAGGTGATTTAAGATTCATGAAAGTCATATTAGTTGATAAAGAGATTCTGGTTAAAACAAACATCACTTCAAACAGGATAGTTACTGTGTTATATTTTTTTGAACTTGCAACTGTGAAGCCCAGCAATCTTAAAGTGGTGAATTGCATTGAGACAACCAGCGGCACTCCCCTTTTAAAACTGTACATATTGGTTGCTAGCATTAGAGTTTCCTTTACACAACACAAGTTTGATCCATCAAGCTGTTGGAACAATGTTCTGTGGATAGATAAAGAAAGTGGGATTTTTTGGGTTTGATGAAAACTGCTACGTTCAGAGAAAATAAAAGACTATTCCAACAAAGGAACCTTATCCCAGTATGAAGCATTTTGTTGGAAGTATCATGATTTTTGGCTGCTCTGCATCCTTAGGGGCTGGATGGCCCTAAGTTAATTCTATTGGAAAGTGTTTAGATAGTTATCTGTAAAGTTTAAATAAATTTGGTTCTTGTAGCATGGCCATGATCTTAATTGTACAACTAAATCTATGAAGCAGAAAAATGGGTTGAAGTAATGGTTACCATTGTACAGAAGATGCCACCAGTTGCTACATCTAAAGCTTCACATACTTTTTGAACATGTGGTAGTGAAGTTTGATTTAGGATAAAGACTTGATGCACTTAAGGTTTTATGCACTTAATCAGAATTTCTTAATAAATATATATATTAAACTCCGATCATATTGTAGGTCACAGTACTTCAGAATTATAGCTAGTGCTAAATAGTTCACAAACTTTCAGAAAAATTGTTAGACTATTTGGAGTCTGGAGTAAAATTTGTCTCTAACCACAGGTAGTTTTCAATTTACAACAGTTCATTTAGTCATTGTTCAAAGTTACAGTGGCACTGAGAAAAAGTGACTTATAACCATTTTTCACCCTTATGATCATTGTAGCATCCCTATGGTCTTGTTATTAAAAAAATCAGACACTTGGCAACTGACTCACTTATGACTGTTGCAGTGTCCCAGGGTTACGTGATCACCTTTTGCAACCTTCTGACAAGCAAAGTCAATGGGAAAACCAGTTTGACCTAAAAATCATGTTACTAACTTAACAACTGCAGTGATTCATTGAACAACTGTGAAAGGTTGGGAAATGGGGCAAAACTCACTTTTAACAACTATCTTGCTTAGCAACAGAAATGTTGGGCTCAGTAGGGGTCATAAATCAACAAATTCCTCTACATTATCCCTTTAGTGAAGTATTTTTGGTGTCTCTGTTTCAAGGTAAGTCATAAATCGAGGATTACCTGTATTTTATGGAAAATAATACACAGAGGAATACAAAGAATTATTATATTGGCATAACCAATAAGAAAAAAAAATCCTAAAATAAAGAATAGTACACAGTCAGTGTTTTTGAAATAGTACTTTTATTTAAAAATTAGAAGATTGTTTTGAATATGACAAATCATGTAGAACAATGAAACTCTTGTCTTCCGATGCAGAGAAAAATGGCCTGTATCTGTCCGAGCAAATGGGCATCTTCTCCTTAATTCAGAGAAGGTATGATGTCTTTTTGAATCTATACTGAACATCTCTGATTACTATGGTTATGAATTAAATCCTTTCTCAGATTAAGGAGCAGCAAGTAATATGTTAATTTGTGATTTTACTCAGGAAAGCTGAACTTAACATGACTTAAAGTTCTTTTTCCAAATATGGAAACGCAGGCAGAAAGTTTATGGAACATTTAATTGTTAGACTTTCCTCTCCACATTGTTTTTCTAGCATATAATAAATATATTTATATCTATATATCTATGTATCTATGTATCTCTATCTCTATCTCTATATATTTATATCTATATCTATATATCTCTATCTCTATATCTATATCTATCTATCTCTATCTCTATCTCTATCTCTATCTC